TTACCAGTTTATATTCGTACAAATTATAATTGGCGATCCATTTGAAAAGTTTATTTTGCTTTCTGCTACTAAGTAAATAAGCTGGATTAATTGGTAAAAACCGGTGGCGACCTAGCTCCCTTTCATCGCCTCTTATAACTCCTAATGTGTTTAGGCATCTATTGTTTATTTTAAATAAATTATTTATAAAATACTTGTCATCAAAGATAACTTATCATAAATAAAAGCGACAATTGTTTGTCATACTTTGCAACCTCCAGATCCTCAGCACCGATCTCTAAATCCATACAATGACTCGTATCGTTAAACTCATTTACCAATTGATGAATAGCTCCTCTACTCATTACCTTTGTTTCAAAAGTTATAATATAAATTAATCATTTAAAATATTTTGCAATACAAAATTATGACTTACATAGCCAGCAGCTGAAATAGATGCAACATATAAACTAAATAATCATTTAAATTATCTCGCAAATGATGTATTTTTACTTATAAATCATACTTGCTCTCATAAATGTAATGTCATTACTGTGGGTAAGTCTGAATGGACAGCCAAACCAAATGGACTCATTTGCCGAGTAATGGGATACTAAATGTTGTAAATTCTCGATTATAACGTACGTGTCTTCGTATACCACGAAAATCCAATCAAATAAATGTTTGTATTTATTGTAGAAATAAGTGAAAACCATTTTCTTCTGACACAAGAGTCGGTCGATATTATTGCGATCGCAGTTCACTCTAATCGATGGCAAACTGGGATCTTGTGGGCCAACAAAGTGCAGGATATCACACCTCTTACCCCACGTCTCCTTTATTGCCAACACATTTGAAGTGTAATTATTATAATTTTGTGGTTTTATGAATACTGCACATAATATTCGCACATTTTTTCGTATATTTACTGAATTGTCGTAAGAATATTGTAATTGAAACTCATTTGGTATTAAAATATGATGTATACTAGAATTATAATTAGAAATTATTAATAAAACTATTGTCAATATAATGCTATTTAATAGTAATAAAAATGTGAATATTTTCGGACTAAGTTGATTTGGGATGAAATTCATGGTATAATTATTAAAGATTAATCAATGTTAAGACACTATATTTATAAATTTTTAAGAAGGTATTGCACCGGGATATAACTTTATCATTATGCTAACTTTTGTAAAATAAAAAATTATATNTATAAATTTTTAAGAAGGTATTGCACCGGGATATAACTTTATCATTATGCTAACTTTTGTAAAATAAAAAATTATATTAAGCATACACCTAGTTAAATAAATATAATGTGAAAGGTGTTTATAATTATTAAGAATACAAATGTTTTATTTTTATAAACTTTTATTTGCTAATTTTAGGTTTCATTTAATAAATAATAAAAATTTACATGGGTTAATATAAATTTGTTTGTAATGTGAGTTAATTAAAAAATATATATTTGTCACATAATTTAAATGAATTATCAGGGTTATGAATATTATTGTATAAGATATAAATATCTCATACATTTAGCTCTCACTGTAAGGCGATCACAGAATTAGCAGAATATACGATAGAATTGTTGTTTGCATTGAGGAATCGGTCCCCAAATGAGACATTGTTTTGATTGATTGAGTCATATGTTTGACCGCATTATCACACCATTGAGTGATTGAGTGGTTGTCTGACAGACAATGAGTGTCACCGCCCGACACGTGTCCACCAAATGTCACCTCCAAGTGATGGACATCTTCGACGAGTTGACCGAAGAGAACCATCGACTCTGCAAACAGCTATCATTAGCACACAAGTTGTGTCAACTGGTGGATCAGTTCAGAGACAATTTGAATGATTTCTACAATTGCTGTGAATGTGACACAAGTGTTGGTCCCAAGACTGTCTACCATCACCTCCAGGATCAGTATAAACGTGTTTGTGATGAGATCGAAGCTGCCATCGCGAGTGGTCACTCCGTTACCACCGATGACTGCAATCAGACACCTGTTAATCCAATTCATGTCTTCGTTGATAATATCCTAAATGAAAGTCCGGACAAAATGTTTATTAATCGTGTGCTTAAGACTGAAGTGTTGGACAACGACTCAGATATAGATGTGGACATCGATGACAACGGATCAGATCGCTTAAGCACTGGAGACCAGGATGACCGCAATGATAGCTCCAGAATGGGTCAGACATTGTAATTGTATTTAAGTTTAATGACATTTATATCATTGTCTTAATGGTTGGAACAGATCATAGAGTGGTTCTCAAGACTAGAGTGAATTCGAGGAATAAGCCGGGAAGACAAGTAAAAACACGTGATTTGGATGAGAATCGGACCAAATGTGAGGAATGTCTTCGAGTGTTTGCATCGAGTCATCAGCTGTCGAAACATATCCGAAGAACCCATAGAGAACTCTTCGACCGAAAGACAAAGAAATTCATTTGTAGTGACAGTGGATGTGGTCTTCAATTCAAGAAATTCAGTCAATTAGTGATCCATAAAGTAATGGATTTGTATTATTTGTATAGATTTTTAATGCAATCCTCGTGTTGTGTCCACAGAACAGACACTCCGGAGACAAGCAATTCAAATGTGCGGACACTTACGAGGGCTGCGAATGGAGTTTCTTTACGGCTGGCGAACTCAGGTATAGATATTTAGTGATCTCATTGATGGCATGAGATATGATATGTACTAAAATGTGTGAACCATTCGCAGGAACCATCAAATCGCTTGCCATTTACCGCAACAGCTGTTCCGTTGTGATTGGATTGGATGTAATGAGAGCTTCAAAATCAAGACTGACTTAGGTTTGAGTGTTGACTCACTTTTTCAATTGGTGTTCATTATTATCATTATTTAGATTTGCATAAAACATATAAACACA